TGAAAAACCTATACCGCAAAAACCCAGATCATCACATGGTCTAAGCTGAATGGAGAGTCACATGGACAAGAAATGAGAACATAACATGGAAACCATTTATACAGGGCTCCACAGTGATAACTGAGATAACTATTGCAGCATACATGGAGAATCATGTGAAAAAAAACAGCTGGAGAAATGCAGAGTCGGATCTCTAGCGATGCATAGGCTCTCAAGTTTAAACAACTGAAAGGAGATATGCCCCGCACAAATGGAGAATCAATCGGGAAAGAACAACAGAATCAAATTGAAGCTCGGCTTATATAAGGGCTTTATAAGGATGGTTACCAACGTTGCTGAGTTTAAGCCAGTCCTTAATCGCAACCTAAACTCATGCAGTGATGCTTTCGCATGGCCCAAATGCTTTCTAATCTAAACCCCAAGTCCTAGACGGCTCAGCGAGTCCTGTCTTTCCAACTTGCGATTGCGCAACCTGTTTCCGGGCCGAATGAGCCATAGTCTAAACTCTTGGTATCCTCCCTAATAACCCCTATAATACTCCCCAATATAATCCCCTATATACCCCCCTTTAAGGAGGTTAGACTGTAGCTCAAATAGCGTATTGAGGTACAAAGTGAGTCCCAACTGCAGAAGCGTACAAAGCTCTAAGCCCTACCTAAACTCCCATCCCTTGGGAAAGACTGTGAATGGAGCATATCTTGCACCACCCTATATACCAGGACTTTCCTTGTACCCTTACTTGGGGATATATGGTCCCTAATAGTAGGTATTTAGTCCCTAATAGAGGGTAGGAGGAGGGTCTAGGTACAGAGCTCTGACCAAGTTAGTTACAGCACTTCGAGGACCCTAGCTGGTGCCAGATTTCCTCCGTCCACCGCAGGCAAGTGACGCGGTTGGGCGGTGCGAAGCGGCCAGACATCGGCAGCACAATGCTTCCCAGAGTCGGCGTCGGGGAGGCAGCTTAGGACACGGGCTTGAACGTAAAGACGTTGGGCTGTAGAATTGTTGGGGTGTGTGTTTGGGGTTTAGTGGGTACTTCCCCACCCAGAAGGGGGCTTTGCTGACTTGCATGTAGTGTGCCAGCTCAAGAACAGTGTCTTAGGTCCAAGCCTCATCCAGGCCCTTCTCGGTGAAAACATCTCTTGCTCGAAAAAAAGGTGTTTGTTGTCGCTTACTGGAAGATACGGACAGGAAAATACAATCAGCTATTCCTGACACCTACATAATCCCGATTTCAACCCCTGAACCCTTGAACCCTAATCCCTGAACCCGGCCCAAATCTAATCCTTAAAGCCTAGACTTGAGAGACATGTCTGAACGGCAGAACGAATCGCTGGCGAGCCAGAAGCACTACAAGCTGGCATACGACGGGCCTGTTGGGGGTTCTTAAAGCCGGGAAGTTTAGGGTTTAGGGGCCCTGCGGCTGAGACTATCAATCCTACATGACTATATCCTACTAAACTTCCAGCCTTTCTAAGGACTAGGGTATCTGGTGTCCCGCGGGGGTTTTGGTGGGCACTGAAGGAAACATAGGGGCTTTCAGGGGATTACTGGGGTCCCTGCCTGACTCTATCAGGATAATTTTCAGCAAATCCCATGTCCCCAGGCCGGCGGCCCTTTCCGTTTAGGCCGCTACGCTGATCGTGAAGGTTTTCAAGGTGATGCTGTGTATAGGACGCACCCTCAATGATCTCAGCATACTAACTCTCACATGTGGGAGCATCCTCATATTTTGAAGGCACATGAGGGGACCCCGTCCGCTTGAGAGCACCCATGCCATCCTGCAACAACCCCAAATAACTCCTGTTAAGCTATCTTTCTTAGACAACTCTCCAAAAAGCACCCTGGACTTGGCAATATACCAGATTCATAGTGTTGGCGTCACTGCGACACGCGAAAGGAAGGCTCCATGGGAGTAGTAGGGCTTACACTTGAGGTCCTGGCGGTGAGGAATAGGCTTACGATCTATCGTCAAGGGCTGGGTATAGGCTTGGGATTTACGGTATACCCTAAATCCTGAATCCGGGTGTATAATCCCAACACCAGGCAATGATCCTGCGTTGACCTTCTTGCTGTTTAGCATGCGGGGCCTGAAGTCTATGGCTTTAAGCTTATACGAGGCTTCAGAGTAAAAGTCTTAAAGCCCTAAACCCTATATAACCCCATCATAGTCGTTTCCAGCTTCTGTTCCATTATCCTGGCATAATCCGGATATAACCCCAATATTCCTATATTCCCCCAGGCTTCATCCATGCGACAAGGGGTTGAAGCCGAAGCTCTTTGGCTTCAATTATCAAGGTTGGATTTCAGCTGTCTCCAGAACAAGCCCAAACCCTACACGCCAAATGTCGCCCATCTCTCTCATCCAACAGGAGAAGCTGACCTCAAACATGTTGAAACACATATGTCAGTCTGCAATGTTTAAAGTACCCCCGAAACACACCTAAACCTGAAGATCCGTACTCTGAAGACCTCCACAACAAAAGCCCCACTTTGTGGAAACCCTCAAGTACAAACTCCAGCCTTTCCATGGCAAAACAGTTGAACTTTCTTTGCAGCTACCAAACAACGGTACCTGAAATGACTACTTGCCCCGAAGTTCTTGCACCCAATACTGCCGTGACCCTTTTTGCCAGTGTTGTTGCTACTGCTCCCAACAGTATGAGGACAGGCACCCTTAACCTGAAACACTAAACCCTAAACCCTAAACAGGCACCCCTAACCCTAAAACCTGTGGGGTTGCAATTTTCGCCGCACTCCCACTCTCCGCTTTCACATGCAGGCTTCCTCTCAGGGACCTCCAAGCGTGTCTTCCAGGGGAGCTTGAGAGCTCAGGGTTTATGGCTTATAAGGTTGAGGCTTCAAGGAAGGGCAGGGAAGCAGGGCTTGCCGTAGAGGTTTCCTAGCATGAGCCCGAAGGAAGCTAATGTTTCAACTTTTGTTAGGATTCGTTTGCATGCTGAGGCTGAGGGTTGGGGTGTCAGGAGGAGTCAAATTTGAGGCTGGCTAGGAAGCCTAGATGATATCAAGGAGTTCCGTCCCATTGGTTGTGGACCCAAACCCGCCGATAAACCCATCCACACCCTTAACCCCGCTCAGGCCACAAAGAGCTTGAGAGCTATAGTCCCCCTTTAGTAAATAGAATATGGCTTTGGGTGTATTTTAATAAGATCCCCATATAACCCGTATTCTATCTACTTAACGGGAATATAAGGTCATGGCGTTGGGTCCAACATGCCCCAACACAGGCCGCGCTTTTGGATGCCATACCCAGACCCTGAAAGCTGGGGTTTGGGGTTTAGGGCTTGGGGCTTAAAGCTCAGGATTTAGGGCTTAAGGTTTAGGGCTTAGGGTTTAGGGTTTAAGGTTTGGGGTTTAGTGTTTCGGGTTCAAAGTTATATCAAGGATTCCAGTATTGTAGCTTTGGGGAAGTACGCCAAGGTTGGGGGCAAAAGGTTGGGGGGACCCTTTGGGGAACTCCTTGCAAACCACAGCGCTGGATTGGGGTTATAAGCGGCGACCAGTCTGGGGGTAGTACCGGTACATCTTAGAGACGTTAAAGCACTTAAACATAAACCTTACCTAAACCCCAAAAGTATGTAAAACAGTAGCCCTAAACCCAGATTAACAGCCGCAAAGGCCACTATTCACATACTTTCGGGGTCCAGGTAACTCTAGATGGTAGGGTTTAGGGTGTATCATGGCTTCCCCTAGTACCCCCCAAGGTTCTCCTTTAACTAACCGTAATTATCCTCAAGGCAACGAGTGGGGGCACCTGAGGGGGGCAGTATTGGGCATTGGGAGGGGTGGTTAGGCCGTGGTCAGGCAACCCAGAAGTTTAGGGCTGTAGATTAAGGGTTTAGGGTTGGGGGCTTAGGGTTTAGGGTTTAGGGTTTATGGCTTAGGGCTTGGGGTCTAGTGCTTAGACTTAGGGTTTAGGGTTCAGGATCCTAGATCCTAGATACATGGCTTCCCCTGCCACCTCACCTATACCACCCCTCCTAAAGCTACCACCTACTTAAGATCATTCAGGGAAAATGTGGTAATTGAGGGTCACCCTTGGGGTGGTGGGAGAGTAGTAGCCCATTATACGTAGATGCAATCTGCGTAAGTGGATCCCAGTGCGACGTCTCAGCTTTGGAGATTACCAATCAATCATTAGGCGCACCCGTTCCAATATGCAAACCCTGAGAACCTACAGTGCGTCCTCCTTCAGAAAAAGACAAGGCATTCCCTAACTCTGCCTGGAGGTTCATGTCATAGCACTTAATAGCTGCCAGTACTGGGGTTGTTACCTTCCTTCTATGTCGTATGCTCAGTAAGCAAGCTTGCATATACTACCCCAAATACAGGAAGGGTCCTAAATCCAGCTAGAAGAAGATACAAAGTCTCATGAACCTCCAAGTAGACCCCAAAGCCCTGGACCCAAAAAACAGGTCGACTCCCTAGCCTCGCAGGTGCCGACAAGCTCTACCTTACAACCGCCCGCTACAAAAATGGCTAAAATAAACTGCTAACCTCCAAGCCTGTCTTTGCAGATGATCACTTTTTTGGCATCTGATTCTAGGCTTGTTGCATAGCCCTTCGGAGTCGGAGCGAATTGCTCTCTGGTGAGCGTCACTGCTTCTGAACTCATCCACCCGGAGCAGGCTCTTTGCAACATAAAGTTGAGGTCCGGGACGCTCAAAGGCATCCATGCCTTCTTGGCCCATGATGTTGTTCTTTTCAGACACATAAACCGGAACATCTTCACAACGGGCTCTCTGGACTCTGGATCATCTGGGCGTCTGCTGAGGAACTTAAACTACGTGACCAGACTGAGAAAACCCTCATTCATGACATTTCATCCCTTTTGCGGCAACATGGTTTAAGTTCCTAAGCAGCACCCCAAGCATTGCTTGCTGCACGTTCTCGTCTGACGGATCTCAGCTTGCTGACACCAACTTGTACGGGGACTCTGCTCGCGGGGCTATAGACCTTCATGCATGTATGCGAGCTATTCAAGTGCGATCGCCGGTTGCTTCCTTGTTCTGTGACACCATTCCGATGGCCTTTCCTGGTAGGTGCTGGGCAATGGCCGGCACAGCCACAAGTACCTCTGGCACGGCATGTGATAAGCAAGTGGCAGCCCAAAGGCTGTTGATCAGCTCTTGCTCCTTCATTTTGTGAGCAGCATATGTCATGCAAGTGGCCAAGGCTTGGGCGGGCACTGTAGCCTCCGGCACATGCTGCTGCAGCTGCGCTGAGGCCCAGAGACAGTTGCTGAGCTCCTGCGGCTTCATCCGTGCAGCTGCAGTGGCCGCGTGGGCCGCCAGGGCAGGGACTGCCCGCGCAACAATAGGTGCCTCATCCACCAGCTCAGCACAGGCCCAGAGGCAGTTGGCCAAAGCCTGGGTTGCTGTTAAGGAACTTAAATTAAGTTACCATAATGGGTACATATAGTAACTAATAGGGTTCCCCCAATATAGTAACTTAATTTAAGTTCCTTAAATCCCTATATTCCCCAGCTTCCATTTCATTTTCCATTTTCTTTTCCATTTGATTCTCCATTATAGGGGGATAATCCCTTAATTTGACTTCCTTTAACAGCAACCCTGAAGCTTGTGGTATCATCTTCGGGGCGCAAAGGGCCACGGAGGAAGCCAGGGATCCCATCCCCGGTGCCTCGGCCGGTGCCGGAACGGCGGCCTTCAGCTGAGCCAAGGCCCAGAGGCTGTTGGTGAGCTCCTGTGCCTTCATAAACCTGGGGGGGTTGCTTTTTTGGAACTTAAACTGGGTTACTATAATAACAATAATAATAATAAATAGTAATATATAAAAATAGTAATAATAGTAAGTTACTAGGATATTAAGTTACTATATTCTTCACTATCTACCCATATTATGGTAACTTAACTTCAACTTTCTTAACAGCAATCCCAGGAACCTCACAGTGTTGGGCAGCCGGCTGGCGACCATCCGGACTGCGGATATCAGGTCGGTGGAATCCTGGCAGCCTTGCAGCTGCGCCAGAGCCCACAAATTGTTGGACACGTCCTCATAGGGTTTCGGGTGTCGGGTTCTTGGGCTTAGGTGGGATAGCTACCCTCACCCATAATATGTCCCTAGGAAGACGGGCGTGCCTTTAATGAACCCTTCAAATCCCCGAATCCTATACATCCCCACATAACCCCCTCTATGTAATCCTATATGAGCCATAATCTAAACTCCTAGCATCCCCCTGAATATCCCTAAAATAATCCTCTATATAAACCCCTATATAGCCCCCTTTAAGGAGTTTAGACCATAGCTCATATAACAAACATATCCACTTATTCCCGACTAAGCCCCAGTAAGTTGAGGGGAGACTCACTGTGTTATTCATGGGATTATGCTTGGGGCTTGGGGGTTGGGTTTAGGGTTTAGGGTCCCGGGTCCTGGGCTGTCATCTGCTCCGCCGTATGCCCAATGCCTGAGTCATTCTTGGAGGATGTCCCGGTTAAGGGGTTTACGGTTAAAGTGTTTAGAGGTCCTACTTGGAGGGTTGGTAAGTAGGTTCAAAACCTACTAAGGCCTCCTGACCCTGCAAATAATATTGGAATTTCCAACAACATTAGGGGTCCTGTAAAACGGGATACAGGGGTGATAAAATGGTACTTAGGCATACATAGGGATTTACAGGTTGCAAATGAAGGGGTCGTTTCTAGGGATCCTCGTAACAGGGAGTATTGGGGAATCTATCTTGGGGTCTCCTTCAATTGTGGAAACTGCAGATGGTGGATACTACAAACATCTGCATGACCCCGAGACCTTGAGGCTTATAGAAGTCTAGTCTACTAAGGTCATGGTTGATAGCCTTCCGCATCAGAAGGCTAAACCTTTACCCTGAATCCTACAAACGGTAACTCTCAACTTAAACGCGAAACCCGCACACCCCAAACCCTGAACCCTAGAAAGGTCATGTCATGTCTAAGCATCACTCAATGTTCTTTTACATGAGAAATGGACCCTGGACCCTCAATCCTAAGCCCTGTACCTAGCCCCTAAATCCTGAAATCTAGGCCCTGAAGCCCACACCCTGAACCCTGAAACCCCAAAACCCTAATCAAGGTGCCCAGCCCAAAGGTTTAAAATGGTGAATGGTTTAGGGTTTGGGGTTCAGGGGGTTTGGGTTTAGGGCTTAGGGGATATGGGTTCAGGGTTTAGGGGGTTAGGGTTTACAGTTTAGAGGTTTAGGGTTTACGGGTAAAGGGTTTACTGCGCCCACTCAGTAACACTTGGATAAAGCTATATGTCTGGTACTGCCCCCAACCAGCAACAGCCTATAACAGGGGTAAGATTCAGGGCTATATGTAACTTCACTATAAGTAAGGTAGTAAGGTCCAACTGTTACTGAATGGGGGCAGTACCCAAAAATATGTAAGTAGATATAGCCCCAAATGCCACTTATGGACTGTTACTGGTTGTGGGCAGTGCCCAAGACCCTCAACACTAACCTCGGATCCCGATACCCAAAAACGAAAACCCAAAACCCTAAACCCGCAAACCTAAACCCTGAACCCTTAACCCTAAACCCTAAACCCTTAACCCTAAACCCTTAACCCTAAACCCTAAACCCTTAACCCTAAACCCTACTCCCTGAACCCAAAGCCCGAGTTGCGCTGAAGGAGGGAAGGCACGGCTCCCAGCATCGAGATCGCGGCGGCTGGGCGCGCTTCGCGGAGCACGGCCAGGGCCTCTGCAAGACTTAGGATCTAGGATTTAGGGTTTAGAGTTTAGGGTTTAGGGTTTAGAGTTTAGAGTTTAGAGTTTAGAGTTTAGAGTTTAGGGTTTAGGGGTTTAGGGATTATAATATACTACCCAAAAAGGAACTACATAGGAGGGTCTGGGTAGGATCTAGGACATGTTTTAGGGCTCAGGATTTGAGGTTTAGGGCTTTGGGTTCGGGAGTTTGGGGTTGTCAGCTTATGGTTCACCATTTAGGTTGAGGGCCTTGGGGGTCTATACCCTAAACCCTTAACCCTTGCTTAGGCTTTGGCATCTTGAATTGTCGTTCGGTGTTCGGGTCCGTCCTTGCGTTTTCTGGTTACCTTTAGATCGCGAGAATAATATTCCACCAAAGCACATCTAAAATTACGACAACACCTTCCAAGTCCCAAAAAACCCTATCCCAACTGCAAAGTCGCAACACCACATGCTTGGAATTCTGAACGTATCGCATACAAGGGTAAGGATTTCCCTGTATCACGCAAACCCTGAAGATATATCTTCTCTAAAGCAAACTCACACGGCACACCGAACACTAAAAGAGGCGTCGAGTAACGCCGGTCCCAAGGGCTTAAATGTGGTTTAGTGTTTTGGGTTTAGGGTTTAGGGTTAGTATTCCCTTCAACAAACCTGAAAGTCTAAACCCTCAAACCCTAAATCCTAAACCAACATGAGACCCCTCATTAATTCTGAAAATCCCACTTGGACCCTTAAAGTCGAGAAGGTCTACTCATTCAAGGCTTAGGGTCTGGGATTGAAGGTTTGGGGCTTAAAGTTTGAACCCTACACTCTAAACTAAACAATCCCTTAACCCCAAACCTCTAAAACCTCAAGCCCTAAGCATTGGCAAAAGGCCGAGGGTCCCAGAGACAGCCCCTAAGCGCATCCCATACCTAAATATCCCGCACGACCCCGTGACCCAAAGTACCTGATACCTTGGGACGTATGACACTAAAGTATACAAAGCTCCTGCAGGATTTTTAGTATCCCCTATACCCCACACCCATCCTATCCCTACCCTACACCCTAAACCCTAATCCCTAAACCCTCAAACCCTAAACCCTCAAACCCTAAACCCTCAAACCCTAATCCCTGAACCCTAAACCCTATAAACCCTAAACGCTTCATCATTAATCTACAGCTGATATCCCCTGTATGCCCTTAAGGGGCTTAGGGCTCAGGCCCAAAGGCAGTTCGAGAGCTGACGAGGTTTCAGCCTGTCCTCCAGGTGAATAGCGTTTTTGGGTGGTTGAACCTAGTAAGATAATGGCTTTAGGGGTTTAGGGTTTAGGGCTTAGGTTTAAGGGTTTCGGGTTTAGGGTTTCAACCTAGTAAGATTATATTCGTTATATAAAACACTATACCCAAAAGGAGGACAATCTTGGTCTATATTGGGTACCATAGTGTCCCCAAATTAAATACTACTCAGGTCACTTTTTGGGGTTCATTGCACTTACTGTTACGAAATTAGGGGTATAGGGTTTATGGTTTAAGGGGGTTCCCAAAATTAGGGGTACCCTTTTTGGGGGTCCCTATAATAAGGATTATAGTATTTGGGGTTCATTGCACTTAGTTAGAGGGTCAGGGGGACTGAGTGAGTAGGTCAATAACCCCTATAACCGCTATAGTAACCGTAGTTATCCCCCTTATTAAGCTACTCAGTAAGTCCCCATGACCTTCCAAGTACTGTAACTAGTTAGAGTTTGGGATTTGGTGGTTCAGTGTTTAAAGTTTACGCTTTAGGGTTTAACGTTTAGGGTTTAGGGCTGATTTGGGTTTTAAGATCTTAAAATGAGGATATCTAAGTGGTCCTAAGTCTATTTTGACTTGAGGGCTTTGGGCTTAGTAGGGTTTGGGCTTAGGGCTGATGATTTTATGGTCTAAGCCTATAGGGCTTAGGATGCGGGGTTTAGTTGGGTTTAGGGTTTAGGGCCTTTGGGTTTAGGGTTTAGGGTTTAGGGTTTTTAGGGTTTAGGGGCTTAGGGTTTCAAGTCCAAGCATTCATTAGTTCAGCAGCTTCATCAAGTGACGGATAAATACCTATCCGCCCCTTGGATCCTACATCATCAAGAAACTTATGCACGGTTTCTATTACTGTACCTTCGTGTGGTGACAATCTTCCTACATTACAAAGAAGTTCCCAAATTCGTGATGCCTCGACCAAGGCGGGTTAGACCCCGGCAACACGCAACCCTCAACCCTTAACCCTATAAACCCTAACCCCTAAACCCTAAATGGTAGTCTCCATGTTCTTTCCATTCTCCCTATATAACCCCTATATATACGCCATAATCCCTATATAATCTCTATATAAACCCTATAACCCCTATAGTTTCCATGTTCTTTTCCATTCTCCCTATATAACCCCAATAACCCTAGTATAACCGCGGTATCACCCCAATATAACCTTCATATAACCCCAATATAACCTTAATATAACCCCGTTGTAACCTTACTATATGAACAAGGAGGTCTAAGACTGTAACAAGGTGGGCAGTGGCCCTGCACTGTGGAGGGCTGGACGGATCCCTAAACCCAGGGATAATGGAAAAGAAAATGGAAACTATAGGGATCAAGGGGTTATATAGAGATTATATAGGGATTATGGGGTATATATGGATTTGCTCGTCGTGTTCTTGGGCCAATTTGGCCTGGACTCCAACACACCTCCGAGCTTAATCTGTTTGCAAGCGGCGTTGGCTCCAGCCTCTGCTGCTGCGTTTAATGGCAGAACCATCGAGCCGCGACCCCGGAAGCCTTGCTGGCGCCAGTATTCCTCACTGTTCTGCACGCTGTTGAGGAAAATGGTGTCACCGTGTGATCTGGCCACGTATTCCTTGCAGTGCAATCGCACAACTCACATGCATGAAGCCGAGCCGCGAGGAACCCAGTGCCCCCTCCCCGCCTGG